GATGTGCAGGGTCAGTGTGGGGAACGTGGCAGTGTCACCCCCAGGCCCTGATGTGCAGGGTCAGTGTGGGGAACGTGGCAGTGTCACCCCCAGGCCCTGCACAGCCCTCTGTACCTCTCACAGCATTAACTGGTGACCGTCTGAGATTTGCGAGATGAATAATGCACTTGGGCAAAGTACAGCCTTCTGTTCATGTTTATATACACAGACCAGACTCTGCTATCAGACAGACACGGCAGCTTTGACAGTCTGTCATAATGACAGGAGAACCAGTGTTTCAGAATGCAGGCTGAGTGCTAAGGTTTTAACCAAAAGGGAAGCAGTGAAGTAACTGATGGTGGAGCCAACTATGGGTTTCCAAGCCTCATGCCCACCATTAATTTTGATGTAATGTCTAGAATGCTTTTTCTTTTTCTTTCTTGCTTGCTTTCTTTTTTGCTTGCTTTCTTTCATGCTTTCTTTCTTTTTTGCTTTCTTTCTTTCTTTTTTGCTTTCTTTCTTTCTTGCTTTCTTCCTTCCTTGCTTCCTTCCTTCTGGGGCTGGTGGTGATGCGGCTCAGGGTGCAGTATACACACTCTATGCTGACCCACACCCTGCAGGATGTGCAGCACTGTGTGGGGACAATGCGGGGTGTTTGTGGACTTGCTGATGATCGAGGCCTGCTGTTAAAAGTATGACGGTGCCTGGCATTCCGGACTTTTTTGGATCTGTGCTCGGAGTTTTTTTTTTTTTTTATATAAGTTTTTTTTTACTGGCATTGTTTGTGCATTTGTGTTAATAAAGAGATTTTAAAGTCAAGTCTCTTTCTTTCTCTCTCTCACCTCTCTTTCCTCATCTCTCTCTCTGTCTGTCTTTCTGCCGTGCGGCTTGAACAATAACTGACCAGTAGTTGGGATAGTGGTGCGCCTGGAAGTCTCCCCAAAGGGAACCGGCCTACCTTCCTCTTCGCATTTCTGATTTTTTTCTGAATGTCAAAAACAATTAAACAAAAACTCGTTGGTAGGGAAATGTTAAGGATCTAAAACCCCTTAAGGCACTAAAACGAACAGTCCTTCAGTGCAGTAAAAACAAAGGTACTGTAACCCCACCCCTTTCAGGGGGACCCGTGGTGATCTCACCAGTCTGTAGCTGCTGGAAGCCTGGTGAAGTGACCAGATAAATATAGGCCTGGATGTCTAAGTACCCGGAAGAACGGGAGCAGGGCCTCAGCCTGGTAACCACACTAACCGTGTGCTGGGAGGGGTAATTGAGGTTAATTGGCTGGGTGTGGAGGTCACGTTGTTGTTCCCTGCTCTAATGAAAGAGGACAATATGGCGATTATAGAGCATCCCTGGCCTACTTCCTGCTTCCAGCATCAGTCTGAGGTTGTGATGGTATGTCCTGCTCTGCCCTGGCTCTTCCTATTCAACTCAGGCCCTCGATTCCAAATCCAGGCCTTGTTTTCAGTTCTCCCAGGTAGTTAGTTTAATAATTACTGATTCTGATTGGTGGGAGGCTGCACACCTGGCTCACGGGTAAAGGAAGGCTGGAAAAGCAGCAGTGGTCGGACCTTGAGGACCGTGATTTGTATAGCCCTGGATTATACTCTCCCTCTTATGAGTCCCTCAGCGGATCTCTGGGCTTCTAATCTGTCCAGCACCTTCAAGGGCTGTCTGATGATTTGATTCTGCATGGTCACTGACCAAGATAGCCGGTTGAGGTCCCATGTTAGATTGTATGCTTTCCGAATCACCTGTGTTTGTGGCCTGAATTTCAAACGTCCCTGGGAGACTGAAGTAAGAAATGCAACGGCCGATCTCTGGCATTAGTGCAAAGCCATATGTGGTCTGTTTGCTCTGATGACTGGACGTCCACCCAAACCATGGGAGCCTGCATGAGGTAACGCTAAGGGCAGGAAGTACCGGCTGGCTGCTGGATTCATTCCTTTGTGGGATGCCCAGCATTTTTTGGCTGAGATGTTGGACAGTTATCGGTATGCATGTGTGTACTCAGAAATAAAAATAGGCCAAAATAGGAAATGTAGAGAACAGAAGAAGGCAATTACGTGAGTCAGTGTAGCATGTAATTAAATCTCAATGGAGGTATTTTTGGCTGTTTTTGAGAACCTGAGCAGACCTGAGTGGCTGGGGATGATTGCTCTTGGGTTGACATGCTATAAAGGGGGGATGGTAAGTGTCAAGTGTGTGTACACAGCAGCATTGTAATCCTTTTGCCCATAGCGTGCTAATTCCTCTGACTAAAGGAAGCTCAAGGAGGAAGAGAATGGCAGGATTACTGGAGAGTGAGCTGGCTGGGCGCTGAGAGATAGAGGGACCGTCTGAGAGGTGTGATGAAGGGAGGAGGGGTGGAGATGAGAGAGCCTGAGAAAAAAATGTGATGGATGTTTGGTTTGGACCCACACACCCAGAAAAAAGCAGGTCTTCCCTCTGTCGCTCTGATGGCTTCTAGTCGTCTTGGTCCGTAAGGCCGAGCGAGACGTTAAGGTTTCCTCAGCTCTCCAGATGGGGGTAGTGTTTTGGATGAAGGGTCCACTGAGACATCGCTCTGCGTGAAACGCCTGGTGGTCTGCAGTGTGACCGCAGTGAGTGATACTCAGGTGTGCGCCCTCTAGTGACATGATATAGAATGACAGGCAAGGGAGCGACAATCCTGCAGAGCCTGTGTATGGAGATGCTATCTGATGTCTGCATCTTCTGCAAGGCTTTGCATAGCCCTGTAAAGGCTCCATCCCCTACTGCTGCTGCTTCTGCCGTATAATTACTAGCGTTTGATGGTAATTTCTCAGCAAATTTTATAGCATTTGTTACAATGTTTTGTCGTTGAGGTTTCTCTATGGAAGAATGTCGATTGACCCATGGAAGCCCCTCCCCACAGTCCCGCATTTAACATGTGACCTCTCCGTTTGCCTGCACAGAACAATGGACCTGAGTCTGAGTGATGCTTTGAACAGCAAGCTGCCCCCACAGTCAGAAAGCCTGGTGCAGAGAGATTTCATCGCGACTCTGGAGGCTCAGAGCTATGAAGACAAGGTCGGAGAGACTGTGGGCAAGACTGAATACTCCCCCCTACGAGACATGGACGGGAAAGGAGATGGTGAGTAGATGATGCACCAGTTAGCCTGACTTCTCTGCGTCTTTTCTGAATTTTTCAGGCTTGTGTGTTAGCTCTGCAGTGTGCATTACACGCAGCTGCCATATCTATAACAGGCGTCGTATTCCAACTATCAAAATGGTCCTTTTTCTGTTCATCAGCAGCATTTTAGCTGCAGTTATCGTCTTTTGCACTTTAACTGCTGCTTCCGCCTCATTTATTCCAACCTTGTCCTGCCTCTGTCAGGATTTTAAAGCTCAAATCACTTGGGTAACTGTGTGCTTGGCTCTGTATACCGGGGGTGACACTTAGTGATACTGAGCACCTTTCTTGCCATCCAGAAAGCGGCGGGTCGCTCCCGGTGGAAAATCAGAGGGGTTGATTTGGAGAGAGGGCAGGCTGGGATGAGCGGCTGGTCCTGACTGCCAGAACACGTGACACCACCATCCTACAGCGGGCCTCCTCTCCCCCCTTCTCTAATGCGGCGATTAGCTTCTGTCAGCCACGCCGGGCCTCCGCTCTGTTATTTATATCCCCGGCGTGGGATGCCACTTCTGCACAGTCTTTCTCGTGTGTTTGCAGTGTAAGGATTATAGCCGGAGCGTCCACCCTTTTTTGGGGGAAACGTCCCAGTCCATCGAGTGGTACCAGCATTCATTAACACCGGGATCCGGTCGTGGTCTGGACCATGGCGTCCTTAGGAATGATCCTTGATCCTTAGGAGTGACCCTTGAACTGTTATGTAATGACGGGATATCGAGGTTAATTTTCGTAGCATTGCTAACCTGTGAATTTAATTGCGAGAGTTTGGGTGGAGTCACAGTCTGCCTGCGGGGGCAGAGTTGAGCGACAGTAATTGTGCGGTATTGACTTCCTGCACCTGCACTCACCCCTCCCTCCTGGCTGTTTGTCTGCATCACTGTCCTCTGTTCCTGATCGTAGCAGCTGCACTGGTTCCACCCTCCTCAGGTATTTCTGTCAGCAGTTCCACTCTGCAGGCATTTCAGGATTTTTTTGGGCCTCATCTATAAATACATGTCAGAAGAGTGTTACAAAGAACCATGGCCGCTCAAAAAAGGTGTTTTATGTGGGCCACGTGCACCGGACTCTGCACCTACATGCTTCTCTCACTGGGGGGGGGGGCAGCTTACTGCCTCGGCGCCCCCTCTCAGCGAATGGGCTGACTGGCCCTGCCCCTGGGGCATCTTCCCTGCTTTGCATCGCTTCACGTTCACAGAGATACCACCTCATGAGGGCACCATTGTGCTCCACACTGAATGTGTTTCTGAATTCTCTGAAGATGAATCATTATTATTTATTTATATATAGATGGGTGTTTCTCTGCATCACGTGTTAATCTGCAGGAATCTGAGAGGGATACTACAGTAGGAATTAAAATGGTAAGCGGAGAGCTCGTTTCGCAAGAATTATGTGGAAAAACTGGAACCAGGCTTGTGAGAGTGAGCATGCATACCGGCCGGGGCTGTGGTCTGATTCTTTGGGTGTGTGCTGTAGGTAGATACAAGCCTATAATTCACCTTTCAGAACTAATGGAAGGTTCATGTTTGGAAACCCACAATGGGTGGGACTTCCTGTCAGTCTGCGTGACACCGATAGGCTTAATACAACAGAAGATTGTATTAAGCCTGTCGGTGTTGATTGTCATTGTCATTGATAGACGACTGCAGGATTCTCCCATCCACCCTGGGGTCCGAAGCTGGGCCTCTGCCATACGTTTACGGTCTCGGTCCCCTTTCTCCTGGTCTCCTGATCGCTGGATGATGATGTTGTCCTCTTACCTCTCTGCTGGCCCACCTTCCCCTTTCACTACCTCCTGCCATCTCCACACGTTTTCTCTCCCTGCTTCCTGTCTCCCCGACATGGAGTAATGCTGATCAGGGGCATCTTCTGACATCACCAGCACTTCCTACGTGGGGCCACGTTACCATCCGGCTTAGCTGTCTTCGCTATTATTTCTCACGTTTTCTGCAATAAAAATTGCACAGTAGTGCTATCTTAGGCATCATGGATCTGATACCGAATATTCTAGATAAGTCTCAGTTTCCTCCTTCTTGGAAGGTCAGGGTTTCCGGCATTTTCTTTAACCTTGAACATGAGCTATAAACATTTATTTAAAAACCGCAGTAACGTATGGAGAAACTCGCATGCATGCAGTTTGAATAATTGATGGACCTTATACTCACAGGATCGTGCAGCTGCATCACTTCCCGTCCCTTAATATTGTACCTCCCCCCTGCATGTAAGTGCTTGTTAATTCCCCTGAAGAGTGTCTCACTGAGCCGTACCCCCCCCCCCTTAACAGGCACACTTCCTGTGGTCATCGCCATTGTTCAACCATGCCATTTTTTTAATATCCCTCCTTTGTCATCACCAGTGGCACTTTCACTGGTGTTGGCACAAGAAAAGCCTTCAACTTTATTTTTTGGACAGTTTTATTTTGCAGTTCAGATGGGCAGATATGTTAATTCGCACAAGGAATTTGCTTGCGCCCAGTGACTCTCAAGCTTTACAGACAACAAACAGATAATGAAAATATCATTTACAGGCAATGCACAATATACATGCAATATACAGATTATATACAAGACAATATACTTTAAGTGCAAACAACAATAACGAGTGTCACATATGGGAATGAGATTGTGGTTTATGAGCATTGTACAATGCGATCTTATTGTACAGATTTATAAGGGTGAGGCAGATGTGAGGCTGGGTGTAAAACAGTAGTATCCTCGGCACAGCAGATGATGCTGGTCAGGTGTGTATGAGGGCGATGGCATGAGGGAAGAATGAAAAACTGCTCCCTACCGTAATTCACATGTGTAGATGTCAAATATTCTGATGTTTGTCTGTTTTATTCCTGTTTACGCCATGCATCCCTAACTTCAGTGACTGGTTTTGACCTCAGCATAACACCCGGTTAGCTCAGTCTTCCTCGCTATTGAAGTGGCTCTGGAGAAGGATTTGGCTCCCCCTGCTGGCTGACACTTACAATAGGGGGATTACACACACAAGCCACACACACCACACACACATATACATATATATGTAATTTGTGTGTGTGTGTGTGAGAGAGCGAGAGAGACACACACACACCACACACACAATATCTACTGTCAAGCCACAAGCAGGTTTTAGAAATTGCTGGTGTCCCAGAAATTCTGAGAACATTTTAATGCAGGATCCTCTGGACTCCTGCCCTGGATTTGATTAAATGCTTTTATTTATTACAGAAATAAATGGTAATATAATAAAACCGATTAACTACCCTAGAGGAAAAATCGACATTTTAGACCATGAAATTGTATAATTTGTATCTGTCTTCAAACTGATTTTAAAAATTTGAGAAAATCCATCCATCCATCCATCCATTTGGGTTCAAGTCACGGGGGCAGCAGTCTAAGCAGAGATGCCTAGGCCTCCCTCTCCCCAGCCTCCTTCTCCAGCTCCTTACTTAAACTCCTCCACTTGGGGCAGTATTTGATCCTAATTGAAGGTGCTGATTCTCATCCCCGCCACTTCACACTAAGCTGCAAAGCACCCCAGCACATGCCGGACAGCAGGACAAAGGTGCAGTACTGAGGAGCTCAGCACTCACCGGAAACGAGTCTGATGCAGTACTGAGGAGCTCAGCACTCACCGGGAACGAGTCTGATGCAGTACTGAGGAGCTCAGCGCTCACCGGAAACGAGTCTGATGCAGTACTGAGGAGCTCAGCACTCACCGGAAATGAGTCTGACTTACTGCCGGCAATACGAAGCAAACATACAGTGACCCGATGGCCCATAACAGCAGGCTTGGTACCCCATAATCCCAAAGTACCCCCCATATATCACCCCCCACCCCCAGAGGGATCCAGTCATATGTCTTTTCCACCAAGTCCACAAAACACATATAAAGTAGTTAGGCAAACTTCATTAAACTCTCCTATAACCTTGTGAGGGTAAAAAGCTGGTCCAGTGTTTTATGGCCAGGACAAAATCCACATTGTTCCCGCTGGATCCCAGGTTTAACCAGCGGTCAGATCCTCCTCTCCAGAACCCCGGCATAAACATTCCCAAGGAGGCTGAGAAGTGTGGTCCCCCTTAAACTGGAACGCTTGCTGATCCCCATTATTGAAGATTGGCATTCTGGGGTGGTGGTCCCAGTCTCCATGCAGTGTTGACGAGGCCTGTCAGCCTCTACAGCCCAACAACATCCAGAGCCTCCAGGGACTCGTGGTAAATCTCCTCCAGCCCCAGCGTCTTACCGCTGGGGAGTGGCCTCAGGCTTGGCGATGGCCTGCTTTTTCCCAGGAGGACGTGTCAGCAGGCTTTCAGAAGGTCCTAGAAGTGCTCCTTCCACCGCCTGACCTCAATTGAGGATATAGTCAGTGACGCTCCATCCCTGCTGTAAACAGGATGAACAAACCCTCCTTCCTCCTCCTCAGTTGCCTGACAATTTGCCAGGATCTCTTCAATGCCATTCTAAACTCGTTTTTCCATGGTCTCGCCACACTCCTCCTGCACTTTTCACGACCTGCCAGTGCTACATTCTGCTCGACCTGCTGGTACCTGTCAGCTGAGTCCCTCAAGTCCACCAAGGCCCCTGCCTATGACTGCAGGCCAATTCACAAAGCGCCCTCTACTGTAAGCCTTCTTGGATAAAAACGCCAATTGAATATCGATGAGATACATGAACATCATTCACATCGGGGGGTCATGGTGCAAAAAAGAAATCAATTTAATATCAATTTTTAAACATAAAAAATATAAATGGCATTTTTCAAACATGAACATTAAAACGTACAAAGGAATACAAGTTACCACCTAATTGGTGTTTGAAGATTCTGCAGATCGTCATGTAAGTGGAATGTGCAATAAATGAATAAGTATATAATCACACCCACACATCATGACATGGACTCACAGCATTCAGGTAGAAACACATTTATTCAATTTCCAGAATATCCATCCAGTCAGTAGAAATTGCAAGTTGGTGAG